AAAAAGGCCTGATGCATACATTAAAACAAAACACTGAAACTCTGGGTTTTGTTTTTCTTTCAAAGAAATGAGACTCAGTGGATAAATATTGATGTACTCAAAGTATATGACATCCTACTGGGTAAAACATGCAATAAACTAAAGAGGTAACATCAGATCTGTGTGAATTGTAATGTAAAAAATATTTCCCTTCTTATTTTCTGATTTTTCATCATGCAAAGCAGAACTAGTGCTAAAATTGCAACAGCTCTTCTTCAGCAGGAGAATGAACTCAACTTCATTTATCTTCAAATTAGTAGTGGATAGAAACATGCATTAATTCGCACTTTATTTTGCAGATGTTTAAAAACACATTGTGACTGTCACTGAGTTTTTCAATGATTCTTACAATACATGTGGTTTGCGACAACAGTAATGATACTGATACTAATTATATGACTTTTACTGCAAATAATGATAATAATAATAATAAGAGTAATAATAATAATATCTTGGGAGAGCAGCATAGATTGAAAATGTCTATGCAACATTTACATAGTAAAAGCCAATGGATAACCTACAGAAAATAGTTGTACCTGTTTCAACAAATCAAATATTTTTATTTCTGAATAGAAGCTGCCAAAGCTTGTAGATGTTGTCAGTGCATTCTGTCATTCCCTGCCTTCTGGGCCCTTCAGATAAACATATATCTACCATAAGGCCTGTATTTTTACGCATTTTTTTCATCTGAACAAATTACAATATCCACAATAAGGCCAGTCTCATTTCAGGAACAGCATATTCATATGAACTACACCATGAAAACAGTAATGTCATATCCTATTTGCAAGGCATATGGCTGAGGCTGGTGCAGCGTGGCAAAAGGCCAGGCCAAAGCAAACAGAGGTGTGTTTCTGATTTGACTGCTCACTCAAGGCTGTTACAAAGTTAATACAGACACACTGTAGTGTCGGATAAACGGATGGATTCTTTTATCTTTTCTTGGAAGTGTAGCAACTGAATGAATGTGCTGTTGGCTTTTACAAAGTTGGTGTCAGTATTCACTTCCGATAAAAGTACTTAACAGTTGGCTTCAAAGGTCTTCACAGTTGGTTTTATTTTCCAAAAAATGCCCATTCTGCTTTTCCACAACATACTGTACAGTTGGTTTAACTGTCTTTCAACACAAGTAGATCTTTTGCACAACCTTATAGCTGTTCTTGGTTCGGTTAAAGGACTTTCAAATTGGTTTTAAAAAGCAATTTTTTAGGAATATTAAGCCAATCTGATATCCCTATAATTTTATATAAAATTGGTTTTGATATTTTTCATAAAAATGTCCAACTGAACTGCTTTTCAGCTGGTTTTACTTTCCAAGTTGGGACACGTATATAATCCAGATAATCCTGAATTAGTACAGTGTAAATGAACAGGAGGAAAGATTGATTCTAACCACTTATTCAGTGTCTATTTTCCCATCAAGGCCCATCTGCATATGTATGAGCGAGCTGATATTTATGAGTGAGTTTTATGAATAACTGAGCACACAAGTGAGTGAAGTTATTGCCACCTGTACTACACATACTGTATGTATGCCCTGCACGTGTGTGTCTACTGACCTGTGAACACAACTGCATGCGTGTTAATTTCTGTGCATCTGTGTGTGTGTGTGTGTGTGTGTGTGTGTGTGTGTGTGTGAATGCTCGTGTTAACATGGATGTGTGTGTGTGTGTGTTAACAGCAGCGGGCCCCTAGGCCTGGGCCCCCCACAGTTTCCAACAGGATTGTGGGTAGTTGGGAGAGGGTTTGGATTCTGGCTTTGTTTGTCTCTGTGTGCTGACATCACTGTGCTGATGGCACCAAATCCCTGTTCTACTGCACACAGCACTTTCCATACAAAACACTAACACACACACACACACACACACATATGCATACGCACTCACACACACACAGACACATGGTACAAGTAATGCCAACTTGGCCAAAAAAAAAAGAGCGCTTTCTCTTTTTAAACACACATGCAGACGTCCATGAATGCATGTATGCACCCACATAACGGGGGATGCAGTGAGGCCAACATAGCTATATTTGGCCTCCTGCAGAACTTCAGTTGGCATATTTACTTTTTAAAATATAAATTTGACATTGTTTTCAACTAGATGATGAAGTTTTATGACCTAATGATTCTTCACTTTATCAAGTTTAACAGCTAGGAGCGGTACTAATCACTAAATTGGTATTACAATTCAGTTTTGAGATCAATTTCAACTGTTTTCCAAGTTGAGTTTATAAATAGTACCGATACCTCAAAGGAACATCCCTATATGTATTATTACAGTTCTGAGAGTTCACCTTTAGTCACACTGGGTTTATACATTTTTTTGTACATCGTAAGTATTTCGGTGCCCGTTTGGAGCTGCAGTATTTCCATACGTGTTAGCCATTACACTGTTGTCCCACACACATGAGCCTGTTTGCTCATAAGCTCAGCTATCTGACTGAGTCTTTACATAGCCTGGTTAAATATTAACTGAGAGCCTTTCTCTTCCCTCCAGTGCTGTCTTTGGTATGTATGCAGCTCAGAGAAGGGCGGGAAGAGTTGGGTAATCAGGTTGACGACACTTCCTCTCAGCCTAGAGAAAACGGGGACTCGTTTTTCCTCATCAGTAAAGTTGTTATTGGTCAAATGTATTTGTTCTGTACAGAGAAACAAGGTCTTGGTCATACTTTTCCAGCTGGATACCTGTTGCACTTTCAGTCTGCCAGCAAAGATGTTGGCAGAATGAAAGTTTATTGAAGTTTTACCTTCAGTTCATAGTCTGAAGCTGCTGCAGCACAAGTTAGACTGATGTGAAATCTT